TGGTTGGATTGTCTGCATACTGTTGTGGGTTTTCTCCCGCAGAATGCAAATATCGAAATAAATATATTTTAGTCCCGAAATGACCTATCCTGTGTTGTGTGGACATTAAGCATCATATGTGTAACTCCCCCTTCCTAATATAGTCGAGATGTTGCAACACATCAATGGTGTGAAGATGGGCGACATCACAAGATGATGATTTTGTGAAATTTGAAAAAATCTCCTCAAAAATTAAGTTTAATCAAACAAGTTTCTGTAGATATGTTAACGTTATGATTTTCACACATAAAATTAAATATTGTCATTTCTAGGGGCTGTTAAATTTTTATCTTAGAACAAATTTATACTGTGAAATATTCTGATGATAGCAAACAAGAAAACGTGGCATCGCTCTTCCCACATTGCTCGAGAAAAAACCCTGATTGTCGGTATTTCGTGAAATATGCGCACATTTTAGACGCGAAATATTAAAGATATCCGCAAAGTGGAATACCGTATATTGACTTTATATCTGGTGACACGAAATTATTTGTTGATTTTTTCCAAGGGTGGCAGCACGATGTTTAAATATGGCCGAGATATTTCGTTTGTTTAAGTCTTCATTTGAATTTATTGTAAACTAGGGGTGTGCGATGAAGACGCATAAATATAAAATATTCATAACTGAATTCTACACTTACTCACTCCAACAAATAGTTCACTCAAGTTTTTTTCTGTGCACTCGTACAAAATAGCTAACATTCTTGCTGCCAAGATCACAAATATTTTTGTGAAGCATCAGGTAATTCTCTTAAAATGGGCAAAAATCATATATTTTTTTTTATTAAAAGGTATTTGATGTGAGGAAACATCTAAAAGGGCTCTTTTAATGACTTTTGAAAATAAAATAAAGATTTAACACTAAATGAATAATAGTTGTTTAACCTTAAAGAGATATTATTCCTTCTCATTAAGAAAATAAATGTAATTAATTTTATTTTAAACTGTATTCAATAGAATAAAATCTTTTCACTCTTAGTCACTGATGTAGCCATAGTAACGTGGGGTTTAGATTTATAAACAATTTGTACCACTTAAAATTTAAATTTAAAATATGTAGCATTTATTGCCAATGATGGTGGGCATCAAATAAAAAATTAATTTTTGACCAACATGCAAAGCCCACCCACGAAAGGAAAAAGTGTAAGAGCAAGGGAGGGGGGGGGATGGATAGGGAAGAGGGTTAGAGAAGGGGGATGCGATATAATTCGTGACTAATCAACAGTCAAACAAAAGAAATAACCGTTGATTCCATGATACATGGGAGTTGAAGGGTCAAATACTATCTAATTATCGCAATGCATGGACGAGCCTAATCGTAGGAGAGGTGTCCAGATTGAATTTTATCTCAATAATTATGATGAAAATCAAATTAACGAATTATATGGCGTGTTAGACGACTAACAGGATGAGGTCAAGGTTACATGGGGGGTTATTTGTCACTTGTGTTCGTCTAGTAATAATTATTGTAAGAAATGAAATGAAGTATGATACCATGATGTTGTCGTCGTCGGACAGGGTCCGGGAATAATTTGTCGTTAAAGTTATTATTAAGCATGAAATCAAGTATCATGTGAACAGGCAGAAAGGTCACGGAGGTGAAAGGCAGCAGAAGAACATGAAGGAGATCATAATGGATGTTTATTAAATTTAATACTATAGCCGATCATTGCACGAATACGATTGCGCTATTAATATTTGATTGGCTCTCTAAGAGTGACACCGCTCGTCTATATCGATCCATTATCACTCGTCAACAATTCACTTTCTTTTGTTCTTTTTAGCAGAAGATGAAGAACGATGATTTTACTACTTGAAATCATTTTAATCTTTACTATCTTTTTTGCAACGAATAATTTTGACATAAAATTTTACAAATTTTTGATTTTAAACAATAACATATACATTGTCATTACAACATTAGATAATGATGATTCTTCAACAAACCATGGAATTATTGTATATCAATTCTGATTTATGTCATATTCCAAAATTCATTAATGATGTTTCTACTTGATTAAGTTACGTGCATAGAGAGTGAGTGCATGAGGCAGGGTGTGACATTCCCATTCTAGAATATTCTAGAACAATGCTTAAAAAAAAGAATATTGTTGTACTTTTGAAAAACATTTAAGGAACAAAGTTTCAAAATATTGTTGTACTTGTTTATTATAAAAAAACATTTGAAAGAGATCTTGTTAAAAAATGAAAATACAAGTTTTAAAAAATAAAAGTTGAAAAGGGAATTTGTACCGAGATCTCTTCAGATCAGAATAAAACAATTACAAATTCAGTTTCAAAAGATAAAAAATATTGTCGAATTGAAACAAAAAAGAAAATGCAACAATATGATGTAAAAAGTGATAGATGGGGTTAAATGGTTTGTTGTCACGGACGGAGGATGCGGTTCAATGATTTACAATTATTAACCATATTAAGTATGAATATATTACACGAAGTAAGAACAATACTTAAACATTAATCATAATACGAGCCTATTGTTCGATTGTCTTGGCCTTGTGTATAATTTATTGTTATGGCCTCCATGAATTCCTTTATTCTCGGCAAACAATAAAGGGAATAATAATTAATAACTGATGAACGCTGAAATGAAACACAATTCCCAATCAGCAATATCGTTATTATCGGAGCTTGATGCGTTGATGGGAGTTGGAAAGAGGGAGGGGGTGAGATGGGGAAGGGATGGAATGGGAGCTGGGGAGAGAAGGAATGAATGAGGGTGGGTAAGATAGTATAAAATATTAAAAACATGATTTGTAAATTTCCCTCTTTATTGACATTAACAGGGCAGGTCCAATTCTAAAAACACTGATTTTATCTTCAATAAGCATGGGCAAGGGTTCAGGGTTAACAACCCCTCAGACATTATTGCAAGGGTTAATTAATATCCATTGTCCCACCTTCCATGGAAAATATCCCTCTCCTCCATCCCCCCTCTTCCACCTGATACTCATTGTCATAAGTTTGTGTCCCGGTAATATTTTTTTTCCCTTATTTATGAAATGGATATTGAAACTTTGCTCTATACATTCGTAACATCCATTATACTTGTCGTAAAGACAAAATAAAATCCATAAATAACTGTAAAAAAAAAGAGAATCCAACTGAAATATTAATGATTAAAATATAAAAGATTTCCATTGACATTTATGAATTTTTCTTTTTTATTGCGATTTCATAATTATACATTTGCGTCACAATCAGGTATATATGTGATGAACCTGCAAGATAAGCGAAATGCATTAGTTATAGAAATTATTGGTTGTAAAATGTGAATGTAATATTCTTTTATGTGATATGATTAAACTAAGTGATCTTTCTGTAGCTTTGATCAACCAGATAGGATAACATTTAGATTACAAGTTTGGTTAATGTAAAAGTATTATCATATGTAAAAATTGTATATGTTATATATACAAGATATTGAATTGACATTCCATACAGGGGATCAATCCAAAGTTTTGTGCAAAGTCCACATAGTAGTGGACACCATATTAATGCGGTGCCTCGCCCCTTTTCAAAATTCCTGTAACAGCAAATTTAATTCGACATTCCGAAATAACAAATCTTTTTATATTTTATATAATTTTTTTTATTTTTAAACATTTTATTTGAAAATTGAAAGGGATTAAGGAATAAGCTTGGTCTATATAGTCTCTCCTTGTAGATTATTGAAATCCTGATTATTAAACAATAACCAATCCAAAGGTTTGACTCCGCAGGAAAAAAAAAAATATTGCAATTGGACTGAAAGCTGTTAGCGCTTTGATTGACTATGATTAATGACAGAGGTCATAAAGCCTTATTTAGTTATCATATTTATGACGATCTTTCTATAGTCTTCGTTCTCCAGGGAACAAAGGCTGGCTGTCAACAAATATGAATTGCTGTAAGGGTTATTTGTTAACGGGGATATGAATTAATGCTTTTGACACATTTAATGAAATCTTTTGTTTGTGGGAATATCTGACTTTCGTTTGCAACAAATCTGGACCGAGTCTCGCAGGAATTTTACGCAGACTAAGCACCGGAAAATAAAATATGAAATAATACCATCTCCATAAATCTTGATGAGATTTGATGAAAAGTTTTGAAATCTTCCATATTTCGTGGTGCGGTCGTCTCCATGGTATCATAGAAATATGAAAACGTATCTATTAATCAGATTGTCTCACTGAAAAATTTGACAAGCGAGGGGTTACGCGAACATTATTTTGAAATAAATCTTTTCACCAGACGGACACGCAAAAAATCGTGAAGTGTTGTATGGAGAATCTACCATTGTTAAATTGGTCCCCAGACATCAATGCTGTGTTTCTACTTTATTATGAAATATGAAATAATTTTTCTGATTTCCCCAAAGTTTTGTCAAATCTGGGGTTTTTTTTGTTTGGTTCTGGCCTTTGATGATTATTGTGAGTTAGTTACGATTTATGACCATTTTAACATCTGACTTTTCTGCAGATATATCGTTAATAAATAAAGTACAAGTAATTCTATATATGCGATAGATAAATATATTTAAAAATTTAAAATATGTTTGTCGTTCTGATATACATCAAAATCATTCTTTAGCTGTTGGTACGTTGTCTAGTCGTTTGGATATGATGAAAAACTGAGGTCCCGTGTATATTAGCATGCACGTAAAAGATCCCATGGCAATGATATAAGTATAGGTCATAGTGCCGCTGCCCAGGCAAAATTTCCCTCATAGCACACTGTATGGTTTATGCCCGTCTTCATTAGCTCTGTCGGAGCAGAACAGTAGGATGTTAAACCTCATTTCATTTCTGTTGGTATGTAATGATCGTATTCAGATGATACAATAGTGACATGATACATGCATGAGGCAGCGTATGAACTATTATTTCTGACAAATATGATAAGGAAAAGTAGATTCTGACAATAACTAATTTTTTCATTTAATTTGTATTTTTCAGAAGTTCAACCTGAGAATGATGATGATGCTACCATTCCCTCACCCACATCCGACGCCCAGCCCCATCTCTGTGAATTTTGTCATGAAGAATTTTGGCAAATTGAGGAACTCTTAGAACATAAAGACAATTGTATAAATAATTCCAAGCGTCGACGGATAATGTACGACGCGGACACACAAGATGATGCTTTAGCAGATGAAACTAACGTACCCGTGCGTGCGCAGAGCGTAAGTGACGGTGAAGAAATGACACCTGACGAGGAAGACGAAGGTGTGTACCCTGAACAATTCTCAGAACAAGTGAACCGAGATTTCACCAACGACAAAATGGATGAGGACGATTTTTCCGAAGAGGAAACTAAAGAAGAAAATAAAGAAAACAAATTAACAATGTCCAAACAATCAAAAGCGGCCATGGCTGCCCAGCTACCTCAGCTTATGTCCTTAGCAAATATGGCCAACGTGGCGAATATCTTACCTACGTCAAACGTCAAACTAGAACCGATGTCGGGAACGAAAGCAGCTGTTGCCCAGTTTGCCGAAAATAATAACTTAATGCCAAATGATATGGCGGTGTTACAGGCCACGTTGTTTAATCTTCAACAACAACAGATCGTTCAGTTACAGTTAATTCAACAACTACAGCATCAGATTGTCACGACAAAAGCTGATGATGAACTGGACGAAGATGACGAGATGGAAGGAGAAGCAGACGATGATGCAGACGAAATAGAATCCAAAAGTTGTGAAACGCCGAAACCCTCATCGCCGATTCACGAACCAACACCAGAGCAAATGAAGCAAATAAATGAAGAAGAAAATAAAATCGTTAAAAGTGAAAGTGAAAAAACGTCGTCGTCAGCGACAACAAACGAAGAAAACAAATCGTACATTTCTAGCTTAGCGGCTATGAACAATATGACATATAATTCGCTACCTAAAGAAATGCCGATACAACGCGGAAGTATTCTACCCCCACATCTGCTACTATCGCCACCTGATGATGGATACGCACAAAGAGGCACAGGTGAGGATTTTAGATTTTATCTGAGGATGTATTATTTTTATATTAGCAATAAATATTTATTTGATTCATTAAACATAGATTCCAGGTACAAATCATGACATTTGTATATTTGGTTGAAAAAGAAATTGGTACTAATAAGGATTTTATCGTCTGCGATTGGTGAAACCATGACTACAGGTACGAATCTTAGAGTCCATGAATTTGTTTTTTTAAACAATTGGGCATTTTTAGGGACTTGGAAGTGTCCAGTCTTGTTTGTAATATTACCATGGCGGAATCAGACGTCAGATAAACTTATATCACATTTTGAAATTTCTTTGATTTGTATTTAGTAATTAACACATAATACAATTTTATCAATATTTGATTTTTTTTTTACGAAAATAAGACACTAAATGTTAAGAGTTAAAATTAACTAAGGTTATTTAGTTTTTCTGATTAAGGGTCCATTTCTACAAATTTTGGTTTATAATTAAAGGACTTTTTGGCTTACAATGTCAGTGTTTTGTCTTGTTCCCTGAGGATACCCATATTTGGATTGTTCTCGTTTTGTGATTCCATGACCTAACCCAGCATTTCACTTGATCAAACAGAATCTAAAAAAAGCTACGAATTTGTTTTGGAATTAAAAAAAACTGACCTAATTTTGAACCCTGATTTGGAGTCCGCAGTGAATGTTTGAATAATGAAAAACGACAAGCTGAATAAGACTTAGATATAGGAACATAAATCAGAAACAAACTATGGCTTGTATCTAGGGGAGATTAACTTCCCATATAACCTCCCTCAACTCTCTCCCCATGTCTTCGTCGCTAACATTCTGCTTGAAGTCACATTCAAACAGTATGGCTATGTTTGACTCTTGTATTAAAAACGAAAAAAGGAATTTAGAAATGTTTATTCATATCTTGGAAGGAAACGACTGCATGTCGGATCACACGAAAAATTCATCGCTAGTATGTTTGTGTTGTGACTTTAACATTGTTGGGTGTTGAGTTTTTATTTTTTCAAATAAAGAGTTTGGACGTTATTAAGATGAACGTCGAGTTTTTATTAAATCAGCGATACCTCGACAAATTTTCTTTTTCTAGTTATTCTGTAATTTAGTCGAAATTTAGTCATTTATTGGTCTGGTAGACTAGACACTGTAAACACAAAGTTATTGAAATAAAGCCGAAATAAATCCAATTTCAAAGTCATTCCAGTGGTCTTTTTATTCAGATAAATTTGTTTTTAGTGATCGTTCTCTCCTCAAATTGGTTAATTTTGGATTTTTCTTGATTTGTTTTTGATTTATTTTAAAGAAAGAAATCAAACTTATATTGAAATTATCAGTGCATTTAGCTTTAGGTAGAGACAGGTGTTGGGCATGAGGCAGTGTACGCTTACTCTTTCTATAGAACATCTGATATCACTTCTCATTTGTTTAGCTAGGGGTACTGATTGGCATCATACATGAGGCAGGATATGCGTATTCTTTCTAGAACGCTTGATACCATCTCTCCTCTAAAGAGTTCACATAGCTAACAAACTTTAATGGGAGTAAAGTTTTCGACAGTATTTTCAGTGGCTGGTGGCATAGCTATTTTGTAGTGTAGTGTCTTACGTATACTTACTCTTTCAATAACATCTGTTACCACTTCCTATTCGAGAAATTCACATAGCTAAATTCTCATTTTAACTGTATCTCATCAAAAATATGAAAACTTTCCAAAATAGAGAAGAAAAAAAAAATCCGCCCTTCATAATAATTTTAAGTCAACACAGAAATGATATTTACAATAAGAAATTTTTGAGAAGAAAATATATCACGATGTGTCTTAAGTATTTATTTTTCGGGAAGGGTTTAAAAATGTATCTTGATCACATTTTTTCTAAATAACTCATCTTTTGTAGCCTATTTGTTTTCTATTCTTTCAAGTGGTTGACGATGATATTTTGGGGGGAATAGGGGAGAGCAGGAGTACTAGTAATTAACCAGCATATTTACACTAAATATGACATTTTTGTCAAATTGACTTATTTGCTTTCGTTTAATGTAATATTCCGCGTTGGTGAGAAGTAGCGACCATGTTTAGTCAGGGTGGAGTGACTAAATACAATCATTTTCATTGGTTAAACAAAAAAAAATGTCCTTATATTTGAAATAAATACCAACATTGCTCACTTTTCGTGGCAAAAGTTCAGTATTTTTGGCATTTAAATTGGATTAAATTTTGAAATTCTAGAATCTTGGTGTAACGAATATATGTCTTCTTTCGTCTCGTTATATTTTATACAAATGACAAATTAAAAAGCTACTGCGTTTGATATTTCAAACTTTATACAAATGATTCTAAGACTAAAAATGAAGATTTCTCAAAATTTATGTTGAATTTTCTCTGCTTGACTCCAATTTTTTGTTTGTTTATCAATTCATGGCCTAATTCCAAAAGTACAAAATTTCCAAATTTCAAAATCTAAAGTTATTATTATCACATACTTCCATCATGATAATAGAAATATAGTCACTATCAAAAAGTCTGAAATTATTAATATGAAATATTTCTGTCAGGTTAAGTTATTGATATGATGTACTTCCGTCATGATAACAGAAATATAGGCACTATCGAAAAGTCTTTTAAATATTTGTGTCTTGTTGTACAGCAGAGGAGAATGATTGGTATATGTGAACATGATGTAACGAGCCTTTCATCTCCGAACATCAAAGGGAATAAAAATCATACATATATATGTAGTCATACATAGATTTTTATAAAGATTTCTTCAAATAAATATCACATTTATTGTAGATAATATGTATTAATTTATAAAGGAAAGTCAATATAGAAATAGAGGGGGGTGGGATGGGGCATACACAGGGCAAGATATGCTATCTTTAGGAAAGTATTGAATTCAGTGTCCGTAAGAAGAGGTGTTGCACTGTTCAGTATATGCTATCTTTATGAAAGTATTGAATTCAGTGTCAATACAGTTAGTAAGAGGGGTGTTACACTAGGCAGAATATGCATTCTTTATTTATTAAGGAAAGTATTGAATCCAGTGGTCAAGCTCTCTAAATTTATTCAGGGTTAAAATCATTGAAAAGTCAAATTTATAATAGGGTGTTGTGCATGTGGCTCAGTATCTTTACACTTTTTTATAAACACCTCATACCATTTCTAATAGATAACAATCTTCTGGTGGGCCTTTTGTACTTGGGTGGTTGAATGTCATGGAGTCAACTGGCGTGGTTTCGAATCCCCGGTTGAACGTGACAAGGAGTAGGGTCGCCTGTCCAACCTCATGGGTTTTCTCTGGGTCCTCCAGTTTCCTCCCACTGCTAAAGACCCCTACATGCAAGCGAATTATTGAAATAAAATTAAACCATATGTTAGTTCCGAAATGACCTAGTTTGTGTCGAGTGGACATTAAACCCCATCTCTCTCTCTCTCCCTCTCTCTCTCTCTCCCTCCCTCTCTCTCTCTCTCCCCCTCCTTTTGTATGTTAAATGCTGTTATTATTTGACTGTGATAATAAATCGCAGGACTTTCTTCACCCCCAGCGTCATTGATAATAACGAGAGTTATACGCTTGGTTTGTTGGACCAATCAAAAGGTTAAATAAATCAGATACCAAATTATTTCCTCTCCGCTATCATCATTCCAATATGGTGGCACGAGAGAAGTCAAACAAATTTGCGGGTTTATTTCTTGTATTTAATATGATTTCTCGATGAGAATATGAAACTAGTTTGGTCTCGACAAACATTCTTCGAACAATCGTAGCGCCAAGAACATATTAGTTTGACTTGAACCAGTCATTAACGATCAATGTTGATGTTTGGACATCGTAATTAAATATTTGAATATTCCTTCTTACTCGATTTAGTCGGGGCTACATTCCAAACTAATAATTTGTTTGTTCACTTTCTAGTATTGTAGTATTTTGACAAACCAAACAGGAGATCAAATCAAATGTATATTGACCACAAATGAACGAATATCGGACAGTTCTGGAACATGTATCATAAATATAATTTATGCTCTCAGCCCTGCAGACCATAATACTCTTTGTTTAGGGTTTCGACTTTGAGCTCCCTTTTTTCTTACAAAATTAAAAAAGATTTAAAAATGAATTATTTTAATTTTTTAAATAGATTTATTAAATGGTTTCTTTAAATTTTGAAACAGACTTTGGTTTGTGTATCTGAAATATAAAAAAAAAAGATGATGTTAAAACTTAAATTTAAATATTATTAAAGCCGTTCAACTTGAAACATTTAAGCTTGTTTAAATCCAAGTGTATGAAATCTGTCGGAATCTTGAAGCTCTTTATATTGGCACATTAAGACTAATATCTTCCAAATTATATTATTTTATCACCAAATCATACCATATGGGAGAGAAAGTTGAAGCTTTGATGTGACCGGTAGCTAGAAATGACTGGGCTCTGGTTACTGTGTAAATACATGAAATGGAAAAAGGAACAGGCCATCGCTTGGTAAACACTGCAACTAACTGGGCTCGTTTCCGCACCTTCACTCGCCACAGGCCATTGTTATTACAAGCTCCGCAAAATATCATTTATCTCTTTATTGTATCGAGATTTATCGCAACTTGTAAACAAAGTTTACTGTTTTAACATTAAAGCGTTTTTAGCCCCGTGTTTTAAGGCAAGACCCGACGGTCTACAACAACAACACAGATCATTTTTGAGACAATGTTGACACAAAAGTTTAAACACAAAAAAAAAAAAACTTGTAAAAAGAAATGTGACTGTTTCGTTTTAGGGAGTTTTTTGTGATTTGTATGGCGGTCTGCGTGTAGAGGAACGGGAGAATGTTTGAAAATGTCTTGGTTTGATTATGATCCTTTGTCATATCAAATCATGAAAATACAACAATACGGCTTCATATTTATTTTAAAAATGTGGATAAGATTAAAATTTAAATTCTTGCCGTTAAATATTGGCGATATCGTATCTTTAAAGTATTAAGGGTAGTGTATATAGGTGTTTCA